AATAGTTGTACATAAAATAACAGTAAATAAAACAATAATAAAACAAAACCTGACATGCATCTCTACTTTTTTTAACTTTTTTTTTATAACACAAGTTACAATCATGATTTCTATGTTTGCCACAAGAGGAATCAGTGGGACATCTATGTTTATAATCACTTATGGATTAGAGAGCTTATTTCTTTATCTCAAAAGTACATAACTGATAAAGAGAATGAAGGGTTTATTTTATGAAATGGGTAAACTTTGGTCCACACTCCAACACTGAAGGTGGCGATAATAACGCTGGTGCTACCCACCATAAAACAGAAGAAGAAGAATCAAACATCACTATTCAAGAATCAGCTACAGGAAATAGGTATAGTAGAGTATAATGTTAAAAATATAGTAACATATGGAAATAGTGACCAAGGACGGATATATTTGTTTAATTTTCTAAGGAGGACTGGACTGGAAGGACGAATTTAATGAAGATATAGTAAGTTAAAGTGAGTCAGCAGATGGCAGTAATGCAACACTATGGATGCCAACTGCCGTAAAACTCCAACGAAGAAGAAGACAAACATCACTATTGTGATGCACATTTGTGTTAGGGACTGTTGACTGTGGAATTGTTACACTGGAGAAATGGTGAGTGGTTGCTTTAATTGCTATTCACATATGCTAATATGATATTATATTACCAATATGCACTGTGGCCTGGCCCCATGTTAGCAAATTAGGTACACGTGTTAGACAGGTGCATGTGAGCAAGCCATCTTGCCAGCTGAGATGTAGAATTAGTTAAGCCAGGAACACACTACACAACTGTAAGGCTAGTTATGAATGTAATTTGATACTTAAAACTGATCACACCAAAATGTGTCAGAGCCATTTGCGTTCAGTTAGTGTTTACAGTCAGCATTTAAAATCATAAGTGTGTTCAGTTCAGTCTTAGAGTGATTCAGTTAGTCGTTAAGTGTGTCCCTGGCTTTAGGTTGGATATCAGTATTTATGATTTGTTATACTTCCCATATCAGGTCATTACTAGACTACATTACTAACTCTGGATCATATTTCAATAACTATACAAGCATGTTTTGTGGAAGCATGGATGCATGATTTGTTTCATATTTTGTTTAACTAATAGTTATTTTCACCTGTTAGGTTGTTAGCAACTGATTGCAATGACATATTGTTCTCTGTGTTTCAGGATGTGTCAAGTCTTTCCAAAGGGACAAACAAATAGAAATTCACCAAAGAGAGAGTCACCAAAACAACACCAGAAGCAGAATGTTTGTCAAATTGAAATGTTTGTGTCAAATGCAAACACCAAACTGAAAATAAATCAAGATGGGGGAGATGATAGTGGGGGGAGACTGGTTAGATTCTCCTTGATGGCGAGGAACCATTTGGCAATTTAGACCCCCATACAAACATAAAGTCTGTGACCAGGACCGTAATTTATATGCAAATGTCAAAAGGCTAAAAGGATCTCTTAAGCCATAAAACCCCAAAGATCATGCATGATTCTACGCAGACGCTACATGTTTGTGTCAAATACAAACACGAAACTGAAAATAAATCAAAATAAACAAGGAAACTGAATTGTAGAAATACTTCGAAGGAAATAAAAGATGAAATTCTACATGTTTTTGATATTACTGGCCAATATTAGAGAAATTTTAGATCACAGTTAACTCACACTAAACTAACAGAATGAGTTTAACACAATGATATGACAGTGGTCTCACATGTTGAGCTTACATTATGAACACACACACACTCACACACATTGCGACCACAGTATGAGCACACAATGAGTGTGCAGTGACCTCACATTGACCACAATATGAGCACACAGAGTGTGCAGTGGCCTCACATTGACCACAGTATGAGCACACAGTGAGTGTGCAGTGACCTCACATTGCGACCACAGTATGAGCACACAGTGAGTGTGCAGTGACCTCGCATTGACCACAATATGAGCACACAGTGAGTGTACAGTGGCCTCACATTGACCACAATATGAGCACACAGTGAGTGTGCAGTGGCCTCACATTGACCACAGTATGAGTGCACAGTAAGTGTGCTGTGACCTCACATTGCGAACACAGTATGAGCGCACAGTGAGTGTGCTGTGACCACACATTGCGACCACAGTATGAGCGCACAGTGAGTGTGCAGTGACCTC